TACTACCAAATTTCAAGGAAGGAGAGTTCAGGGGGGGAAAAGCAGGGCTACCTCCTTTAGACAATGCTCTCCCTTATCAGGGTAGACTGCTGTCTGGTTTCCTGTCTCGAGCTCTGGCATTACTGCTTCAGATGAGAACAGGGGTCTAATAAAGGGGACCGATCAGGCTTGAAAATGAGAATGCTAAAAACCACCATAATCCTCTTGCAACTTACTCTGAGATGTATTTTGACTAGAACATTACACATTAGCAAACCAGGTATCAATGGTTTTATGACTCTAGGGATTTTTTTTTTTTTTAAAGCTAGAACCAATGAGTATGAAGCACTTCAGAAAGAAACCTAATTTCCAGAATAATGTAATTCCTAGGATTTCAAGGATGAGGTTGCTTATATTTTTTTCTTAAATACAACCGGTGTGAAAAAATAGTTAAGAAATACTTCCTAAGAAAGCTGTTCATTATAGCAAAAATGTTGACTTGGAAATAAATAATGATTTACATCATCAAGAGATGAAACCATTATTCCCATTTTTTTCCTTTTGTAATTCTAGTAACTATCAGACAGATACAATCTTTCCAAATTGTTCAGCTTGGTATTTAAAAGCTCGCAAAGTGTATTTAATAAAATATATTAGACCCTAATAATCACATCTATTAGCCAACCACCTCCCTCTCCCCCAATGCAAAGAAAATAATTACCTGAAGTAAGCTAAATAAAGATTCTGTCTACCAAATCCAGTTGGATTGTTAACAGCCTTAGAACTAAATTGGAAAAGTTGCTTTGATTTGGGTTACTCACAAATTTTAGTTTTAAGACCCCTTGCACTACAAGTCAGCTTTATATTTCAAGTTTGCTTCTCCCAAAGGAGAAAGAACAGCTCTTACTAAAAGCTTCCCAAACACCCACCATTTTTTAAAGGAAGGTTATCAGTAACCTTCTATTTGATTCTAATAGTTTTCTTAATATCATATTATATATCTCCCTTCACCCATTAAGAAAGAATGTAGTAGAATGTGAAGTTAAAAACCCAACTACTATTATCATCAATTTAGGGGAGGACAGGGTCTGATTTGCTGCCTTAGCAACTCTAAATTAATTCCATTAGAGAACATCACAGATAATCCCTTTGGATCTTAAAGAAAATCCAAAAATAAGTTTAGAAAGAAACTTGCCGGAGTTTTCTTATCCAACTATCTAAAACTTAGTTTCTGAAGAGCCAAGAGAAAAATGTAGTAGGTTTTAAATAGTTAACCCAGAAGTGTTAGCCCACAACTAACAGAATTTACAAAAAAAAAAAAAAAAAAAGAAGAGGGGGATTATGAAAAAGTTGGTGTTGTAAAACAATGAAAACAAGAGGTCTCCTTCTGTTTTCAAAATACAAGATTAAAATTTTCCAGACTCTCATTAAAATGAATTTATTTCCAGTTCTCTTTTTCTTTGAGCTTTTTATTCTTAAAACAGGTCGGAAATCAGATGGGAGAATAAATACATCTTTGTCCTTGGGAAAATTATCCTAGCACTTACATCTTTGTCTTTAAGAGATGATCCTGGGATTTTCTCCATATATTTTATGCCTCAATACTTTTCCTCAAGATTTCTTCCTTAAAACCTAAGCAAGATTTCCAAATCAGCCCAGTCTGCCAAGACTGCTTAAAACTCTCCATCCGGTAGAACCTCTTCTGCCTTGAGCTCCAGTGTTACTTGGGAACAAGGGTGGGCCAGAGCCTTTAGGTAATGCCAGGTCTTCTAAACTGTAAGGTGGCAATCCCCCCAACTCCAGAATTGACAGCTTCAGGGCAAAATGCCTACCTCTAAACAAACACCCTACCCACCTCCAAACAGGAATGGAAAACAAACAAATGCAACCTCCTTTAGACTTCTAGCCAATCTGCACACAAATTTCTCAAAGTCACAATTTGGCAATGATGAATTTTAAAAGGTACCAGTATTTATTCACTCACAGAAACACACTGGAGCAAAGGGTATATGTAAAAAGGTTAACTGACTCCTCATTATGACATAACACAGGCATCTTAAGCAATTGCAAGTGTGTAGAGACATGATAACTCCCTGGGTGGGGATCGGGAGTTTAGGGGCAGGGACCACGGCCTGGTCTGGGCTACTGATCTACCAGAAAACAGCCTGAAACAGGAAAGAGCACACATATGCCACTTGGAATGTATGACGCAAACCCCAGCCTTGAAACAAAGAACAGGAAACAGCTCTGCTGGCTGTGCTGGAGAGCAAGCACAGAGAAACATTTAGCCGGCCCTCCCTGACCCTATATTCATGAGCAGCTGGAGTTTTTTAAAACAACAACAGGGGGGTGGAGGTGTTTGTTCTATGGGTGTGAATAATAACACCAGCTTTATTCAGGGGACCTGCCCTATTTACAAATAGGAGCTTCCACATACAGTAAACATCATAAGTGAACATGTGATTTTATCATATTCAGGCAGCAGAGACCTTCCTAATTAACACCAGCCTCCTTTCCGATTTCTTTTGTCTCTTTCTCCCCCATCCCAATGGCTGGTCTCGAGCCATCATCAAATTCTGGGTTGGGGTAATGAGTATTGTTCAGCCTCAGCATCATGACGAAAATGAAAAGGGCGCACTCTTAAGAATTCAGATGACAACTGGGTTATCCCACAGAACTGAACACCGGACCAGTTCTAAGCGTCTCTTAGCTACACAACTACATTCCTAGACACAGAGTCTGGGATATCTAGAGTCACCCCAAATTTCACCATCTTTTTCAACTGCATAGTTAGAAACCTATCTGCACACAGCTGCACATCTGTTCTCCATGTACACACACCTAAAGAAATTCACCTTTTGAGAACGTGAATCTCTCTTCCTGACATTTCATTTAACCCAGAAGTGTTACACGATCTGTAGAACAGAGTATCAATTTTTATAAGATGCCCGAAAATGTCTATCTTACTTTAGGTATATTTAAGGTAGTAAAATCCATTCAGTCTTTTCCCCATTATGTCTCTTTATTTTGTTATAGTGAGCCAGGACTGCTCAATTCAGGTTTCCATGATCAGAGATTTAACAATCTGTGTGTAGACAAAACTACAGGTAAAAAAAAAAAAAAAAAAAAAAAAAAAAAGGCATCACTGTGTCCATAGCAACCAAAAGATTGGGTTTTAATTTAGAAGTTTGCAGTGAAAAAACAATAGCGTTTTATAATTGACAAGATTTTGTGGTCTTAGCAGCTACTTTTCTTTGTTATTCTCACACTAAGGTTTTTAGACTTGCATTCTCCTTCATGAAAGCCAAATGTTCCTTGCAGTGTATCTTTATTGAACTTCCAAGAGTACATTGGGCTTTTTTCTTCTAATACTTCTGCTGCAAACCCCACTGACTGTAGAACTGGAGACAGTTTCTCTAGGGAGTTTAAATTCATCAAACATCTCATTTTAGGTTTCTGTTAACAGGCTGAGGTCACCATACTCCATGCTTCCAGCCAGAAGAAACTCATTTGTCCATTCCTTAAAAAACACTAACTTGCAAAATTTTGGAGATGTTAATGTTATCAGATTGTTTTCTTTTTCCCTAAAAGCAAGTCTTCCCTCCCGTTAGGCAGATTATCATCCAGATGGATTTCTTATAAAAATGCTGCTCGAATGCACTTAAAAAAAAAAAAAAAGTACAAAATTGCTCAGTGGAAAAACCTGTAATGAACAACTGCCCTATTCGCCTACTCCATTTTGCTAATAATTATATGCTCCATGTAAATGAAGTCAGAATACCACTACACACTGCTCCGCAAATCCAGGCTCTCGTGAGGATATAATCAACACATTTAAAGTATCTTAGGTGATATTCGTGGAAAAATACATTCTGAGCTAGCAAAAATTCGGTGTAAAATGTTTATTTTGGTGCAATACAAGAAGGTGAGCGATTTCCAATTTCCGTTTAACCTGACTTAACAACAACAAAAAAAGTCCAGTTCACACGTTCTCCGTCTATTATTATTGCATATTGCTGTAAAATTTAAAGCAGAAGATGCGCCCTGATATCTCCCAGAGAAGTGGACAGGAGGACAATTCCAAGTATTATCTGCCATCTCCAAGAAAGCCACTCTGAAATGTTAGGTCGGTCCCCAGGGTCCAGGTCCAGGGATCAGTCCCTCGGTCCCCACACGGCTGAGTCCCTAACGCTGCAGGCAGTTGCCTAAGGCGCTCTCCGCCTCCAGCCTCGCTGCAATCCTTGCTCCAGGCAGGCACTGCGGCAGGTTCCCTCCGCGCCCCCGAGGAGGGCTCTCCAAACCCGGCCGGCTCTTTCCTCCTGCCCCCGGGGATCCAGACGCCCCGGCAGCTCCTGGGCTCCAGGACCGAGAACGGGATGCTGCCTTCGGTCCCCACGGCCCCAAGTTTCTTCCCAGAGGGCCCGGGAGGCTGCTCCAAGTTTGCTCCGGCGGGCGAGCGGTCGCGCGCGCCCCGTCCGAAGAGGGGGGCGGCGGGGGGCGGGGAGGGGAGGGCGCGGGAGCGGGGGTGGGGGACCCGGAGGGGGAGGAGCAGGAGTGCGCGGCCTCCGCGCTACCTTTCTCCAAACAACGTTGCCACACGCGGAGAGCACTGAGGTTTCTGGGGCTTTGGAGGGAATCGCGAGCGAGGGAGCGAGCGAGCGGCGGGCGGGGGGACCGACCACACAGGTGAGCCCCCGCCCGCGCCCCCGCCCGCGCCCCGCCCTCGCCGCGGGTCTCGCTCCCCGCACCGCGGGCTCCGCACGGCGGCTGCCCCGAATCCCACACTCTCGACCGCCGAGCCCGAGGTCTCCCCCCGGCCGCCCCCAGCCCCGGCCTCGAGGAGCTGTTGCACTTTCCCAAGCCCACAGGCGCCCCCGCCCCCGCCCCCGCGCTGCGCCCCCAGCCCATTCGCTGCGCGCCCCCCCCCCCGGCCCGGGCGGGGGGGAGGCGAGGAGTCCGCAGCAGCCGGGAAGGGCGGCAGCAGGAGCCCGGCCGGGGGAAGGTGAGGGAGGGGCACTTACTTTTGGAGGCGCGGTGCTGGGCGCTGCAGACGAGAAATAAAGGCCCGGATCCGAGGCGCCTTGAACCCCGCGAATGCAGCAGTGTCAGCGCGCCAGCCCGGGCGGCGGCGGCGGCGGCGGCCGCAGGGCACGGGCACGGGGCCGGGGTCGGGGGCCGGGCCGGGCACGGGGACGGGGACGGGGACCGGGACGGCCGCGCGTGCGGCGGCGGGCGCTCGCGCTGCGCTCCGGCTCGGGCTCCGGCTCGGGCTCCGGCTCGGGCCCCGGCTCCGCGCGGCTCCGCTCCTGGCTCCCCTCTGGCTCCTGGCACCAACTCCGGGCAGTCACATGACGCCGGCGCCGCTCGCTCTGCGAGCCTCCCGGGGCTGGCGGGGTAAGTAGAGGCTGGGACCCGGGGTGGGAGGGTCAGGGAGGGGAGAGGGAGCCGCCGCGGCCGCCCGGGCTGGGCGGGTCCCCACCCACTTGGGTGGAGGCTGCCGCCGGAGGGGTCGGCCGAGTCACTCGCGCAAACACGCACCCCGCCCTGCGCCCTTCCCCCGCCGCCCCCGCCTCCCGCGCCGCCTCCGCCCCGCCCCGCCCAGTCACCCGGGGCCGGCCTCACAGACACTCATTATTCCCCGGAGCCGGGCGCCGCCCCGCCCCGCCGGCCCAACCTGTCCGGCGAGGCGCGGCCCGGCGCGGGAGGGGCTGGGCGTGCGCGGCGCGGCCCCCGCCCCGGAGCCCCCGCCCCGCGCCCCCGCCCCGGAGCCCCCGCCCCGGAGCCCCCGCCCCGCGCCCCCGCCCCGGAGCCCGCGCCCCCGCCCCGCGCCCCGCGCCCCCCGCCCCCCGCCCGCGCGGGACCCGCCGCCGCGCCGCCGCCCCAGCCCGGGGGGAAGGAAGGGCGGCGCTGCCCGCTCCGGGCGTCACGGGGCTGCAGCCCGCTGCGCCGCTTCCAAAACACACAGCCGGGCGCGCGCGCGGGCCCGCGGGGCGGGGGGCAGGCGGCCCGGCCGTCCGTCAGCCGGCTCCGGCGGGAAGGGCGGCCCCGGGCGCGGCGGGAAGGGCCGGGCCCCGCGGCCAGCGCGGCCCCTCCCGGGCCGAGGGCGTGCAACTCTCTTAAAGGAAAAGCCGGGAAAGGCGCCGCCGGTGGAGGCGCGGGGGCCCGGGGCGGGGCCCGGGGGGCGGGGAGGACGGCAGCCCCGAGACGGCCCCGAGACGGCCCCGAGTTCCCAAGGTCGTCGGACGCACGGTCCGGGCGCCCCTGCTTGTGCCCGCGGCGCGGAGGGGCGGCCCCGGAGGCGAACTCCGCGCCGGCCGGGCCTGCCGCGGGGGGAGCCGGCCGCGGGCGGCAGCGGCATCCGCCCAGCCGGGCCTGCCTGCAAACTTGGCCAAACTTCGGAGCGTCCCTCCCCGGCGGGAGGCAGAGCTCGGGGCCGGCCCGGGGCGCGGCCGGGGACCGAGCGCGGGCGAGCTCCGTGCGGGGCGGCGGACACGCGCTCGCCGGCCCCGCCGCTGGGGCTCAGCCCCCGAGTTGCTTGCTTTCTGAATCCCTCTTAAACAGTATTAATGTCATAAAGGATGCAATAAAAAGAACAAAGGACAAATTGGTTCAATTGTTTTAGTCCGGTGTGATGTTTCAAAACGCCCCGCTTCAGCGTAAGGCTTGTTACTGCTTCAAGATGTCTTAAAGGCCCTTTCGGTTCACCCTTCTCTTCTCACTTGGATGCTTCATCCAGGCATGGTGCTGCTTGAAACGGAGAGGTACGGAGAGGTACGGTCTATACCGAGCCCCACCCGGGAGCTGCGCAGTATTGGAGGATTAGTACCCCGTAACCTCAAGTAGTGGAATTGCACGGTATAAAAAAAGGCACATAACATAGAAGACCACGTGGAGAGCACCCAGAACTGACACTGGTTCTTGTGCCATCGGGCTGATCCCCAAGATGACTCTTTAAAGGGATGAGAGGTTTATTTTATTTTTTGAAGATTTTATTTATTTATTCATGAGACACAGAGAAGAGTCAGAGGCGCAGGCAGAGGGAGAAGCAGGCTCCCTGCAGGGAGCCCTGTTGCAGGATTCCATCCCAGGGCCCCTGCATCACCACCTGAGCCAAAGGGAGATGCTCTGAGCCACCCGGATGCCCCGAGAAGTTTCTATTAATGAGTAAAGGACAGATCCTGGAAAATAAGTTGGATTCGTGTCAATTACTAATTGCAGTTCATTGATCACTGACATCGAATGTCTGATTGGATGGCTCAGCTTTGTATTAGCTGAAAGACCGTAGTATTAGTGATGACTGATGCAATCATTTTTGCATTTGGATGTGTGGCTCGCAGCAGCTGCTCCAAAACTCCAGGCTTTGCTCAGAGGCCACAGTGGTGAAAACCTAAAGTACATTAACCGTGTTCTTCACCTTGTTCGTGTGGGTGTGGACCCAAAGGAGAAACGTGAAATAGGTCTGAGAAAAGTGTGATCCAAGATAAGTAGGGAGTGGCTTCAATATCAAAGGTGGGGGAAGGAGGAGAAAAGTCATAAAAAAGCTTAATTAATGAACACACTGCGTTCACTGCCCTGTGGAGGACAGCTGAAACACAACTTGTACAAGAATGAAGGATCAGTGAAGGAGACCAACAGCCATCTGTCCAGGTACCCAGAGCAGAAATGCCTGAGGTCATCATCCTTGACTCCTCCCTTCCCCTAGCAGGTCAGAGCCCTGTCCTTCACAGAATCTTGGACCTCCTCCTCCCCACCCACTCCTTGACCACTCTCCCGGTCCAGCCCATAGCCACAGGGTCTTGTTGGTCATCCTGCTTGTAGCAGGGTTGAAGTGTGGGAAACGGATTGGAGCAAAGGAATAAGAATATTTCTTCTAAAATACAAGCCTAAAATGTGTCAATGTCTTCATTACATTCCCTCCAGAAGACCAAGAGTTTACTACCAGTGCTGACCTGGCCTCCATCTATCTTTAAAGACTCATCTCTTCCTGTTACCCCCCACCTCACTCTTCCCTGCAGCAACAATGAACTTTTTTCCCTCCAGCTCGTTCTCCCCACCTCTGGCCCTTTGCATATGCTAATGTTCCTAAATGGGCTTAGTTAGCATCCTTGCCTTCTCCCCCAACTCCTCACCTCCATTCTCATTCTGTCTATTTTATCCGTCCTTTAATTATTGACTTAAGTGACGTCTTCAACAAAATGTATCTTGTCTTACCACCACCCCTCACCCCTCCTTTGGATGAGTGGAGGCACTCCTTCTTGGTGCTCTGATAACACCCATGCTTCACCTCTTGTAACTCTTTCTTATGGTAGATTATGTAACTCTCTTTCAGTGGCACTGAAATAGAAACTCTGTGAGGGCACAGACATTGTCCTTTTAAAAGCAAAATTGTATCCTCGTGGCCCAGATGTTCAATGAATATGTGTAAAATGAATAAATGTCAGCAATGAATTGGGAAGAAGTCATTCAGAACTAAAGAGAGAAGAGTGGGGAGCTTCCGGGTGGCAGTGGCCAGGAACTGTATGTACCTTTGAGATAGTGAAGGGGAGGGAGGAGGGAGTTCTTCCCGAATGTCTTTGAGCAGTAGAGTGAGATGGTAAAAGTGGTGCCCGGGTCTCCTTTTTATCCTTAACGTTTTAGCACAGGGACCACATATACTCAGGTGTTCAAGACATCCCGCACAAATGAAGTATCTCAAGCCTGGTCCTTGTGGTGGCAGCTTTACTCTTGTTCTTCAAGGACCGTAGGCCAGTGTGGTTTAGGTTTGGGGCAGCACGTACTGGGGGAAGGATACCTCTCCCTGGCCCCAGCCTTGTTGCTCCCAACCAGTCGTGGCAGCCCCAGCCTCTTTTGCCAGATATATGACCTAGTTCTGGCCAGCAGGACATGAAGGGAAGTGTGCTGGAGCTTGTTTTTCCTAATTAAAGGAAACTCTTGCAAGGATAAATCCCCAGGCCTGCTTTGGAAGTTATGTGAGGACATGATTGTTGAAGCTGTGGCAGCCATCTTGTAATCATGAGAGGAGAGCAAGGTTTCAGAGTTCCATACGGATAGCTCTTTTTTTCATCATTAGTTTCCAGTTCAAATAGTACATCTTCTGGGATGACTTCCTTGACCACACAACCTAAAATATCCCTCCCTTCTCCAAATCTCTGTCTAGTTGTTCTTGTTAATTTTTTGGATACCTCTTTCCCCACTGGGCTCCATGAGAGCAGGGACATTCTATCCTTCGCTTGTATTTCCCACCAAGTTCCTACAACAGTGCCTAATAAACAGAAAGTGTTCCAAACGTATTTGTTGATTAATGGCTGACAACTAAATAGTAACTATGTTGAAACTGCGTCAGAGCTCAGTGGACACAAGCCACCACAAACCTCCATTTTACGTTCCGTGGCTTGTATCATAGATAGTTCCATTTCAGGAGGTCTCTTTTGGCTACACAAGGGCATGTTCTTGAGATTCCTTCTTCTGATCCCACTCTCTTCCAGAGCTTTTCCATTCCTTCCCTCAGGGAAGTTTCTCCTTTTCATTTGAGGACCCAACGTCATGAAGGCAGAAAAGTGTCATGTGCTTAACAAATTAATGAGCCAACACAGATAACATCTACCTTAAAGGGTAACAAAACCATAGGGTTTTTTCTTTTTCTTTTTTTCCTGCTAGCTTTATTGAGATATGATTGGCTATCATATATATATGTTCAAGGTCTACGACATGATGGTTAGACATACCTATATTACAGACTAACCACAACAAGGTCAGTTAACATTTCCATCCCCTCACATAATTAGTATTTAGTATGTGTATGTATGTGTATGTGGTGACAACATATAAAACTACCCTCTTACCTCTCAAGTATATAATATAATATTGTTAATTATATTTATCTTGTTGTACATTGGATCCCTAGACCTTATTCATTTTTATAGCTGCAAGTTTTTGCCCTTTGATATCTTCCCACTTCCCTCTTTGCCCCCCCAAACCACCATTCTATGGCCTGTTTCTATGAGTTTGGCTTTTTAGATTCCACATATAAGTGAGATCACACAGTATTCGTCTTTGTCTGAATTATTTCACTTAGCATGATGACCTCAAAGTCCATCTGTGTTGTTGCAAAAGGTAGGATTTCCTTTTTCCTTTTTTTAATGAGT